TGATTACCATTGTTCTTTTAAAGTAGCTTAAATTAGGGGCAGGGAGCTGGGTACAGTGGTGCCTGCCTGCCATTCCAGAACTTGGGAGGGACAGCAGGAGGATCAGGAGTTCAAGCTCCTCTTGGGCTCCATAGCAAGTTTGAGGCCAGCCTGCATTATACAGACATTGTCTCAAACAACAACAAACAAATAAATTAGCAACAGATCTATTTATTTAAAAAAATGTTAAGGTTTTGAAAGAAAAAAAAAACATTTCATTAATTAAAATAATTATAAGGTTAAACCCAGGCCCTTCTATTCTGCTTTAGAACAGCACACACATTTCCCTTCACCCTTCAAGGCCAGAAAAAAAAAAAATCTCCGTGATACTATTCTAGGATTTTTAAGTAAAACACTCCAGATTTTCTGAATTATTTCACTTCAGCTGAGCAAAGCTTGGATCTTCCTCTTTGAACATGTAGAATACCACAAATCTTGGAATTTGTGCTTCCAGAATGTCAGATGGGCTAGAGAGAGGAACACACAGCTGTTTCTAGGAAACAGCAGGGTCAGTGGTTGTGTCCTTGAGTGACACCTTTGCTATGTTTGGGGCATTGTGCCAAGAGCTCCCTCCTTCCCCTTTCTCCTCTGCTAGATCTCTTTAGTTTTATGAAAAGTAAGCGGTTTTGTTTTACAGTGAGTCATAGTGTTTCTATTTTTTTAAGGGTGAAAGGGGCTCAGGTTTGTTGCTTCCTGTGTATCTGATTGACAGGGTTTCTGGCTTGTCCTCTGCCCCAGCTGAAGGCCTGCCGCTTAGTAATTACTGTGCGCACGCATGCTGTCTCAGTGTGCAGGTGTGTGGACACCCAAAGTGTGGTATTCCCAGGAGAGGTACAGGAAAGCGGGTATCCTGGGTGATTTTTGTTACTTTTAGATATCTCATACATTCACTCCCCCTTATAAGAACTTGACATGGCAGGTGCCTCTTTAAATGTGGGGCCTCCCCTTCCCAAGCCGATTGATCGCAGGCTCTGGATGAGACTGCACTGCCTCCAAGTTTGTGGAAGGCCCAGGGTCAGCCCTCGGTAATGATGCTGAGTCTCGGAGAAGGGGGACAGGTTACCAGCCGTGTTTGTGGAGGGGAGCTACATACTGCCAGTGGCCATCTGTGCTGCTGCCATTTTGGTTCTGAGGACTATTCTAACAACTCTATCAACGACAGAATACCACAGTTGTCCCATTTGGGGTCTATAATTCAAGCTGTGTGGTGGCGACGCCACCAAATACCCTACAAAATGCAACCAAGGGAGGAAGGGTGATGGGAAAGCATGGCCTTGGGGCCAGTGTCTGTCTGTAGCTGTGGGGGACCACAGCTTCCACATCCTTGGGTCAGGAAGCAGATAGGGAGCTCTGGAGCTCGCTGCGGTAGACTCCACCGCACAGGTCTCCCCCTCGGTTAATCCTCCCTGGGGAAGCCCTCTTGGACAGCGCCCCAGTCTATAATTACAATGAACCATCACCCACCCACCCTTCATCGAAGTGTAACTGCCAGTCTGTTTTGTCTCTATGGCCGTGTCTGTTCTAGAGAGGATCTTAATAGAGGAATGAAAAAAAAAAAAAAAAAAAAAAGGGATTAACCCTGGGGCTGTAGCTCAGTTATTGATGGTGTATGCTTGTGATCTCTGCACCCAGGAGTAGCAAGATGGTTAGGAGGTCAAACTCATTTTTTTGCTATGTGGAGAATTTGAAACCAACTTCATGGGCCATACGCTGTGTTGAAAAGTGAGGTCTTGGGGGCTGGAGAGATGGCTCAGAGGTTAAGAGCACTGGCTGCTCTTCCTAAAGGTCCTCAGTTCAATTCCCAGCAACCACACGGTGGCTCACAACCATCTATAATGAGCTCTCCTGCCCTCTTCTGGTGCACAGGCGCATATGCAGGCAGAACACCAAATACATAATAAATCAATAAATCTTAAAAAAAAAAAAAAAAGAGGTCTTTTGTGACAGGCTTATCTCATTAGCATAACGTACAGGGTTTCTCTATGTATCCATGGCTAGGCTATCCTAAAACTTGCTGTGTACACCAGGCTAGCCCTCATACTCACGGAGTTCCACCTGCCTCTGCTTCCCAAGTGCTGGGATCAGTGATGTGCACCACCATGCCCAGCTCAAAATTCCCTGTACTTTTTAAATTTATGCTTTCCTTTGTATGGACTTAAAATATACATTATTATTTTAGGTATAATCATGTGACCGGCTAAGAACATCCAAAAACGTGAACCCGTGTGAATCCAGTCTAGTTCTTTCTAGATGCAAATGTGTCTTCTGTGTTAGGCAGTGTAGAAGGAGATGGGGATACAGTGACAGATGGGCAGGGTCTGTGCCCTCCAGATGCTGCGTTGGCCTTGATGAGGGTGGGAGGGTGGCTGTGGGGCTTCGGGCGGACACAGCAGACATGCACGTGGAGAAAAGAACTCAAGGCAGGTGTGGGCTGGGACTCAGGAGGCGCTTCCAGAAGGAAGTTCGTGATCAGGCTGAGATGTGAAGGAGGAATGATGGAGAAGGAAGACTTTCTACACAGACTGTAGGGAAATTCTCAGTGTGTCACGGGTGCAGGGAGTTAAAAGTGGGGTTCAGGGTGAGGTGTGGGGACTGGGAGAGAAAGCAGAGGGCCGGGGTTGTAGATCCGCTGGTAGAGTGCTTGCCTACCACACACAAGGCCCAGCACTACATAGATAGGGTGTGCCAGCTCACGCCCAGATCACAGCACTAGGAAGATGGAGGCAGGAGGAACAGCAGTTCAAGGCTATCCTTGGCTATGTTCACAGTTTTGTTTTTTTTTTTTTTTTTTAATGGGGGTGGGGTCAGTGAGGTGCCTGAGCAACCAAAGCTTCCTACTACCACTAAGCCTGACGACCTGGTTTTGATGCCTGGGACCCCTATGGTGAAAGGAGAGACACCTGCAAACTGCCCTTTAACCTCCACACATGTGTTACGCACCCCTTCCTCCCCAGAAAAAAAAAGAAAAAAGATTAAGAAGAGACCTGGGTCCCTCAATGGCGGCAGCACACAGTAGGGATCTGCTTTACCTAGCTAGCTGGGATGTCCTTAAAGGAAGCCACTAGGAGATCCAAAGGTTGGCTGCCCAGGGGAATGAATGAGTGGCTTCGGGGGAGGGTCTGAGGATGTGGAGGAGGTGAACAGCAGCTTGAGACAGAGCTCCGGGGTGTCTCAGTGGCTTACTGAGGCACAAGGGCTCATACCCAGGGCCTTGTGCACTCCAGGTGCACGACCACTGACCTCCGTCCTCAGAGCCTCACTGTGTAGCTGTGGGAACTCACCGAGATCCGCTTGCCTCTGCCCCTCCAGTTGTACTAGTTAATCCTGTCAGCTTGACACACACTAGAGTCAGCTGGGCAGAGAACCTCCACAGAGGCACCGACTCCATCAGATCGGCCTGCTGACAAGTCTGTGGGGCATCTGTTTTTTTTTTTTTTTTTTTTTTTTTTCAATTAACGATTGATACCCAGCCCACTGCGTGGCCCCCGCCCCCGGGGCAGGAGGTCTTGAGTGGTATAAGAAAGCAGGCTGAGCAAGCCAGTAAGCAGCTCTCCTCCTTGGCTGGCTCCTGCCTCCAGGTTCCCGCCTGTGCTTCCCATGATCTGGAAAGGTGACTTGTAAGTTTGCTCCCCTAGGTTGCTTTTGGCTAATGTTTAATCACAGCAACTGAGAACCAAACTAGTGCTGAGATTAAAGGGGTGTGCCGCCGTGGCCGGCCGACCCTTGGTTTCTTTTTCTTGTTTATTTTTTTTCAAGAGAGGGATTCTCTGTGTAGCCCTGGCTGCCCCGGAACTCACTCTGTAAACCAGGCTAACCTTGAACTCAGAGATCTGCCTGCTCCTGCCCTCCAGAGTACTGAAAATAAAGGCCCACGCCACCACTGCTCAACTTAGCACTTGGTTTCTTGAGATGGCACCTTGTCATTGCCAATTACCATTCTCTCCTCAAAGGGAGTAAAGAAGTAGTTTATACTGAGCCCAATATGAGTGACCATGGCCCCGGAGCACAGGTTCAGGTTGCTAGAACACTGTTTCCCAATGTGAAAAATTTTATAGTTACAAATCCAGGTATTTGTCAAGTATACTGATGGAAACACTGGGAGGTGAGTTCCAGTAAAGCAGGGAGCTACTGCTATGGGTCTCAGATGCTGTCTGACCTCATTCTCAGCTTGGGTTGTATGCACCAAAGGTTGTACATAATAGTCAAAACAATAGTAGGTCTAAACCAGAAACGGGAGTGGGAGGAGCTGGGGAACTGGTTTAGGGCCAGAGAGCTACAGTCAGCTGGTGGAAAGTAGGTTAGACCCAAGGAAAGATTGGTGTCCTTCCTGCCCCCGCAGGGAGCCACAGGCAGGAGACACTGGGCAGAGGTGGCCTCAGGCGGTGTTCTGGCTGTCTGCGGCACACGGAAGATGTGGGGGGAGCACACAGAGGTTCATAGCAAACAAACCAGTTTGTTTCTTCAATGCTGTGATGAGGCTGGGCAAGGTGGCGCACGCCTGTAATCCCAGCACTTGGAGAGGCAGAGGCTGGCGGATCTCTGACAGTTCAAGGCCAGCCTGGTCTACAAAGTGAGTCTAGGACAGCCAAGACTACACAGAAACAAACAAACAAAACATGCTGTGATGAGGAGCCCTGCTTGGCGCTAAGTGGAATTAACCTCACCTGAGCATCTTCATGTAGCATGTGCCACAGGTTCAAAACATAATTACTTGAAGTGCCTACTGTTTTGTCAAGGAAAGCTATCCCGCCAGGATTCTGTTAGAGTGATAAGGTTTTGCTCTCGGGGAGGACTTAAGAGGAGGTAGTTCCTCGTTCATGTTGGCCATGTATCCATGAGAAAGTTAGAGTAGGTCTGGTCAACGCTGCCTCCTCCCTGAGGAACCAGGCACACTCAACAGTGTGTGACCCCAGCTTCCTTTTCTCTGGGCAGTGACTACGGGGCTCTCCTTCTCTGTCCAGGCATGTACCCGTTGGCGACAGCAAGCCAGGAGGCGGAGAGCAGCCGGAAGCTGACACACCTGTTGAACGCAGTGACGGATGCCCTGGTCTGGGTGATTGCAAAGAGCGGCATCTCCTCCCAGCAGCAGTCGGTTCGACTGGCCAACCTCCTGATGCTTCTTTCCCACGTCAGGCACATCAGGTACCCCCTCCCCCGGGGAAGCTGCTCCAGTGGGCATGGGTGTGGGCGGGGCATGTGTTCGGAGCTTCCGGAAAACGCGTGCAAGGTTGCAGCGGATGTGGTAGAATGTTCAGCTTTAAAGAAAAGTTAAACTTTACAGTTTTCTTTAAAGTTCCCCAAACTTTCGAATGGGAGCAAGCACATCATCAGTGCTTGCACCTGCACCAAAGCTTGGCACATAGTAGGTGTTGAAATGAGTGCCAAGCGGCACCTGGTTAGATTTTTGTGGCAGCTGGTGGGACCCACCTTGGATGTAGTGTTTAGAATTTGTTTAGTCCTAAAATTAGTCCTAAAATGGGCAGTTCTCCCTCTAAAATGAGTTGCCACCCTCCTTCTACCACCCAGGGCCAAGGCCTGGGCTTATTTTTGTAAGGGTGCTAACTAAGCCTGGCTGTCCTGGTTGTCCTTCAGCCGAGGGACTGGGGACGTGCACCGGGTTGTCCTTATGTTTCCATGGCATCGGATACCAAGGGTGAGATCTGAGGGATCTTCCCAGCAATTGAGGAAGCAAGGCTGTGGATGGAACAGAGTCCAGGTCAGGAAGAGGACAGTGTGTGCACTGAGGAGCACGGGTTGTGATAGCTATTGCTGGTACAGTGATGTTCAGGGGTGGTGATGCCCAGGAGGAGGTAAAGATGGATGGAAGTGCTCACCTGTGAGGAAGGATGGTGTCTGGTTCGCCTAATTGCTGGTTTCTTCATGACCCCCCAAAATCAGTACAGGTGACCTTTTCAAGGTCAAGCCAAGAATGGTGATGTTTTTCGGTGTCTTGTTATGTCCATTGGCCGGGTCAGTCAAGGAGATAGGTGCTTCAGGTCTCCCAGTGTTTGAAGCTGACTCATAATTACACTGTTCAGAACCATGCTTTTGGTTTTGTGCTCTTCATGAGTGAGCTCGTGGCGCAGCATCCGGTGGTGAGAAGGAGGTCAAGGGGATGTCACTTTTGCCCTTGAACGTAGACTGTTGAGGGATCTGGATACATGAGCCACAGTACAATGAAATGGGAGAAAGTACAGGAGAGGCGTGTGGGGTGGTTGGGCTGGCTTTGTGCAGGAGCTAACAGGGACCGTTTCCGGCATTCTCCTGGCCATCTGGAGGGAAGGATTCTCAGTGCTTTTTCCCTCCTCATAGTAACAAGGGCATGGAACACCTGCTCAGCATGAAGTGCAAAAATGTGGTCCCCGTGTATGACCTGCTGTTGGAGATGCTGAATGCGCACACGCTTCGAGGGTACAGGTCCTCCGCCTCGGGGTCCGAGTGCAGCCCAGCAGAGGACAGTAAGAGCAAAGAGGGCTTCCAGAACCCACAGTCTCAGTGATGGCCAGGCCTGAGGTGGACAGTCTACAGAGGTGGTCAAAGGCAGAACCACGCACCCTCAAAGCTCGGGCTTCATCTTAATGGCTGCCTTGGTCATGTACCCCTTCCCCGACGTTCCACTTCCCAGGAGTCAGGGTGGGTGGGTTGTGGTGTTCCTTGTAGCAGGGTGTACCTTTGAACTCAGAGTTCTAACTTGTATAGCCTTAGAAGGCTCTTGATGTGGCCCTTCTCTCACTTCGCATCTCCTTGCCCGCGTGGAAAACACCTTAAAGGTTCTGGAACGAATGGTCAAAGTCTGACTTGGAAGGATTGGCCTGAGATGGGGGAAAGAATGTGACACGGGACACAGCTGTAAGAAATGAACTGTACAATTAACTGTGTGGCTGTAAAGTTAGCCTTCGAATGGGGTCTTCTGGACCCTTGATTGTAGGGCGAAAAACCACACTGGCAATCAACTGGTTTCACATTCCTACCTCACAGGCCTGTGAGGAGTAACAACAAGCTACAGGTGATTCCATCAGAGACTGGAGGCATAATGGCCAGGCTCAGATGTGGGCCTTGTCCCTCCTCCCCGATCCTCTTGCTGTCCATGTGCAGATTCATCCTTCTGGCTTACCTTTGTAGAGCCTGCTTGTTTGGCCTGTCAGAGTGTGCCCACTGTCACAGATTAAGATTTAAATTTCTAATGTTCTTGAGGCTATGTTGGTGTTCTCTCTCTTTTTCTGTGTGTGTGTTTGTGTGTTTGAAAGGCCCCGTTTTTGCAAGAATGGAGTTTATCCTGTGGGTGTGAGTCGTAACACATTGTGAATGTGGATTTCATCTTGCACAGCAGAGGAAAGGGATGGGAGACAGGAATGCTTCAGGCTGTAGATGTACAGTCCTCTGTAAAGATTACACACACACAACTTCAGGCCTATATAGTGTGGATTGGATGGGTAAAGCACCTGAACACATTTTTTTTTAACCCCTTCACAAAGAGAGTTATTTAGGGGTAATTATAACAAAAAAAAAATTCTTCTCTAAACTATATAGGTCTCTTAAAATATCTTCTTATCAGAACATTTGTGAGGTGGTTTGGATGAAGCGAAAATGTGATTTGTAATTCACGTTTTAGAAACTGGCATTTTTGGACAGCTCTGCTTTGGAAGCAAGCAGTTAAATGATCACGCCGATCGGGTGTCTTTAAGAGTAAAACCTGGCGATGCAGTATGAGGTAGACTTCCCTTTGAAAACGGTGTTTCTGTGGTCAGTACATCCTGTGTTTACTGAGTCATTCATTAGGAAGATTACACTTAACGAGAGAGAACTTGAATGTGTCTTAATTTTGCTATTGGTATGCTATTGCTAAAGCTGACGTTAGCAGCTGTGTCGGATGCAGGCCTAGGGAACACACAGGTGCTGGGGGTTCAGAGGCATTTTGAAGTTATTAGCAGTTCAGTGCTATAGCCTGAGCACAGCAGTACAGAAAGCATCCCACTTCGGACAAAGGTCAGGGGTTGGAGGGCAGGAAGTTTGATGCAAGGCAGCCTTGAAAAACATGTCAGGAAAATTTTGTTTCTTTTTAAAGAGCCTGATGGGCAAGAATAATAAAACAATCAGAAACGAGCTCCAAGCTACTGTCTAATTAATAATACACAGTGAAGTTCTTGGTTGAATTTGGATACCTAATGAAGGGATTAGTTTGAACTCAGTCAATCAGGTACCCTCCCATGGCAAGGCCTGTGTGTATTTAGATAAGGGCACGTGCCAGCGGCCATTAATTAGCCTGGAATCTTTAATCCTCCCTCTTGAGCCTGACAGAATTCCAGGCGAGGACCACCACACCCAGCCGGTTTCTTATTTCACATCACTTCTCCCCCCTGCTCTTAGGGGCTGCTCATGTCACTCACTGTGCTTGGTTCGATGGGAGGGGCGTGTAGCCCTCGAGGTCATTTCTTCTTGGCTTGCATCTCCCCGGGGGTCTGCCTGAGACTTCTCAGTACGGGGCTGTTTTCCACTGGGCTCTGGAACAAGTGGATGGTTGAGATACAATCTACCCTCTCAAGGCCACGTGTTGGTTTTGCGTACCCGAGGGTCCTGTTTTCCCTTTCCGCTGAAGTGCTAGTATTTCTGCTGTCTGTTCCAGACCAGCTGCGGAAGGTTGACGCGGTTTTCAGCGTACTGGTGACATGCTCAGCGCCCATTTTAACGATGGGCCTTGTCTCTTTAGTGGGTCATTTCTCTTTAATGCATGGTGGCTTCCTTGAGCCGTTCACATTCCTTTCAGGCAGCTTAGGAGTTCTCTCACAGCTGAGGACAAATGTCTCAAATGTTTAAGTTTCCTTTAAAGGATGGCTAGGACCTGGCACCTGTGAACGTGGCTTAGATTACCGAACAATGGACTCCCCCTTGAAACCGCAGCTTACAGTACAGAGCAGCGGGCCTCAGCTTTGCCTCTGACGGGTATGGCAGGGTTCTTTTGTTTCAATCTGCAAGTGGTCACCCAAGAAGCTTCTCTGTGGATGAGTGGCTTTCCCTGTCCCCCAGGTCACATGGAACCCGAGGGTGACTTCTCGGTCCCATTTCTTTTCTAGCTTCTCAGCTTAGAGGGGGTCTGCTTGAACCTTGTGGAGCAGCATCTGGGATGGGCAGAGTAGACTGGCTGCTTTACTCCTGTCCTGCCGTCTGGGGTTCTTAAGCCAGGAGGCCCTGCCATCGCTTTCTGGTACTCCTCCAGTGTATCAGAGCTTCGCATGTGCCTGGAAATGATACCCATGTGAAAGAGCACATCTCTCGGGCACCAGCGCCTCCCTGTGGAGCCGAGGGTAGGAACGACACACCAGTCCTCCCCCTTAGCTCTCAAACTTCATGGAATTTGGATCCAGTAGAAGCTGTAAGTTGAGTGCTGTCTCCGTGTATATGCTTTTCAAAATCCCAAGGAGCGCCTTCACTTGTAGGCTGGCCAGTGACTTGATGGCAGCCTTGGCCTTTGTGGAGGATAAAGGTTTGCCAGCCCAAAAGAGTCCCCGGTATCTGCACCATCAGTGTTGATTGCTTGTTTGCCTGTGAGCCCTGTTCCTAGAACTCCATCAGGGGTCATGTGTCTTTCTGAGCCTGCTGGCGGACTCTAGTGTCATTGTTTTCAGACAGAGGTTGTGTACCATCAGGCTAATGTGTGGGTGACAGGCTTTAAACTGTGAGCGTTAGTTGAGTGTGGTCACTTATTCCCAGGAGCCCAAACACTTGGGTGCCTTGACATAAATTTAAGGCCAACCTGGGCTACTGAATGAGATTCTTAACCCCCCCCAAAAAAAAAAAAAAAGACTATGCTTTTAAGACTTGTAGTCCATCTCCATAGGGGTCCTTTCTCTTGACTATATCCCTTTCATGTCTGAATTGTCTTTCAGGGTCTGTGTTGTTGAAAGCGGTGGTCATTCTTCCCAGGAGAGGGATCGTTACTGTGGATGCTTGCCCACCGTTTTAGACTCAATACCCCCACTTCCCCTAGGTTTCCTAAACAGGAACAATTTACCTTATAGTCAGTCACCTAATCATTTGAGGCATGTGGCCACACGCACTGTGTGTAGATGTAAAAGTCCCCGGGCAGGCAGAGACTCAGTTTATTTGGGTAGATTTTCTGTAATTTTGTCATCTGAGTCAAACTAGTAACATACCCTTCAGAGATGGGGTGAAGCCATTCATTCATTCATTCAGACGGAAGTTTTTGTTTTGTCTTTGTGCCTATGGTCATTTGAAGATTTCCCCCACAAGTGGGAAAGGAAAGATGTGAATAGTTTAAGAGTGGCAGTGAACCATGAATCATGTCATTCAGTTCTTTGGGGGAATACTCCAAGGTCTGCATGAAAGAAGACAGAAGTGGCTTCCTGTGGCTGGAGATGGATGGTGTGTGTGTGTGGGAGGGGGGGTAAGGGCCATACTCAAACTCAAAAAATATCATTAGCCTTTAAAATGCCACCAACCCTTAGACACACGCCAGTGTCCCTTCCTGAGGCATCGAAGGCCTGTGAAACATTTTCTTTGGAATGTAAAATGGAGGCGCTGGAATTCTGCCCCTTGCCTTGGGCTAACACAGAACAGGGAATCTTGAAGCAATTCCGTGGCTTACGAAAAAGGCTGTAGCATTTAGGTTTGTCCCCTGTGCCCAAGACTACTCTAAGCCACACCCAGTTATGCTGGGAACGTAAGCCTACCTTTTCTCCCTATCCACTTAATAACTTGAGAACGTAAAATGACAGATTTTTAATGGCCCCTGGAGAAGCTGAGAGGTAATTGAGCGAGGTGGTCTGAATGTCTGAGGAGTGAAAGGGTCACCTGTTGAGACATTCTGATAGGCTTTGCAGGCCTAACACTCCAGTCAGTGTTTGGGCCTGTCGTTCCTGACTCCCTGTACTAATGCAGGTGAGGAACTGGGTTAGTAACGTCCATCAAGGATGGAGAGGTGCTGAGACTCTCTTCATCCTGATGCGGGATGGCCTCAAACTCACAGAGATCCACCTGCCTCTTCCTCGAAAGTGCTGGGCCTAAAGGACTACACCACCACACCTCGCTCAGACAGAACCTTCCCTCATTTACAGATACAGAGAGTCACAATAGCCTAAATTGACCGCTCTGTCCCCAAAACTTTGAGGGCTCAAATGAGATCACAACCGGAAAGTTTTGTACCATGAAACTTTATTTCATGCACAAAAATCACTAAAAACACGGTACCTTCAGAATAATACATGGCTTAGGTATACGTGAAAGATAATCCTTTCTCCAGATATCTCATTATAAGTAAAAATTCCCACATGCAAAAATGCCTTGAACTCAAAGTACCTCTAGTCCTAAGCATTTGGGGTAGAGGTAAGGCACCTGTAGTTCATTCCAGAAAACTAAGAATGGAAAGATCTGGGCCAAGCGACTCTTTTCATCTTTAGATGCTCCCCCTGTCCCACCTCCCCCCAGGCAATGGATGGTCAGGGTTTGGTGAACCATTTACATATTGGGATGGTTACTGTGAAC